TTTCTTTTTGCTTATGTGGTGTTGAGGAATCGAACCCAGTGCCTCATGCATGCAAGGCAAGAGCTCTACCACTGAGCCACCTTCCCAGCCCTAATGCAACTTTTATAATACAATCTTTTGAATAGTCAAGGAAGGACTTTATTTTTTTTTTGGTCCAGTCGTGGGGCCTGAACTCTAGACCTGGGCACTGTCCCTCAGCTCTTCAGCTCAAGGCTAGCGCTCTACCACTTGAGCCAAAGCACCACTTCCGGCTTTTTTCTTTTTGCATATGTGGTGCCAAGGAATCAAATCCAGAGCCTCAGGCATGCAAGGCAAGCGCTCTACCACTGAGCCACCTTCCCAGCCTCTCAAGGAAGGATTTTAATGCCTCATTTGTCACTGCTTTAATTTGTGTTGATCGTTCCTCCTTTGAGTATTGTTTCTATTCAATAAAATGTTGATGACTTCTTATGCAATACAGTATTACAAATTTTTAACTTAGAACAACAAAAACATTTAAGCTGGGTGCTGAAGGCTTATACTTGTAATTCTAGGTACTCAAGAAACTGATTATGAGGATCTCAGTTTAAAGCCAGCCTGGACAGGAGAGTCTATGACATTTTTACCTCATATTAACCAGCAAAAAGCCAGAAGTAGAGCTTGGTTCAAGTGGCAAAATGCCAGCTTTTAGCAAAAAAGCTAAGAGACAGCTTCCAGGTCCTGAGTTCATCAGTACTGGCAAAACAAAACACTTGTTAGTAATTTTATTTCCCACACATTAGGCTGTAATTATTTTTTGGTACTGACACTTGAATTCAGGGACATACTTGCTATGCTGGTGTTCTATCACTGGAGCCACGCAATCTTACTTATTTTTCAGATAGGATCTTCTGAACTTTTCTGCTTAGTCTGGCCTTGGACCACAATCCTTCTCCTCAACCTTCCAGGTAGCTAGAATTATAGGCGTTAACTACCAGCACGCAGCTGTAGGCCTGATTTACCTGACAGGAAGTTGTCTTTGATTAGAATTTGATGTTATAGAATACTTATGCTGAAATTTTGTATTAAAAAAACTACTTAAGGCACTTGCAGGTCCAAGAATTTTATCAACTTGTTTTTCTGGATATGAGGCATGATAGGCCACACAACCACAAAGTATCAGAAGCCAGACTGAACACAGTCATCTTGTTCTACTTCTTTACGCTAGGTTGCTTAACAAGTAATGTTCTCATTTTTTTTAAACAATATTGAAATTTAAATCTATACAATTAGAAAATTTTAAATGACTATCTGTAATACATTTTACAGATGTGCACAGGAGAGAAGACAGGCAGAGTATTCAGATAATTAAACCCGGTTCCAGTGCTGGCAGATGGTCGAGGGGCTTAGATAATTGACCACAGTCAGTATTCTTTTATCTTCTGGTAAATGCGGATTGGAATGGCATCTAGAATGGAGTCATGGTGGCTCTCTGCAGTTGTATCAAGCTGGAAAATGTTTACCACGTTACTTGTGGCTAATAGATACTGCAGCAAATGTACCCAAGATAACCAGAAGATGCTAGCTTGAACAACTTACTGTACCAAGTGGTCAGATGGCCAGAGGGGCCAGCACGTCATTCCAGACACACGGTATTTGGCTAAGTCCATCTTCCTGTCAGCATTAATGGGGTAACAAGACAGCACCTGATGGAGACACTTCTCAAAGCTACCATTTCCAGCAGAACGTTAGTTTGTACCCTTTCTGCTTCAATTTCTTCCAAGGGCAGCATCTGTTTTGTATTTTCTCATTTTTTTTCTTCCTGTTTAATTAACCAAGGCTTTACTAACCTAGTGCTAGGCCCTCTTCTGGGTTGTACATGCATGGGTGTGAAGAACACCCACACAGCATTCTTCATATTTCAGCTAACACAGACGTTGCGGACACTGTGAGATATTCTCCATATAAGCTACAAGAGGGTAAGATTTAGTCTCAAATACCTATTTCTTTGCAAGAGAAGGGGTTTATTTTTACTTTCACATAGCTCAGACTCACAATCCTTCTGTCCTAGCCTCCTGAGTATGGGTTTTTAAACATGCACCATCATGTTCACTCCAGAAAATTAATGTTTTTTGTTTTTTTTGGGTCCGGTTGTGGGGGCCTGAACTCTGGGCCTGGGCGCTGTCCCTCAGCTCTTCAGCTCAAGGCTAGCACTCTACCACTTGAGCCACAGCGCCACTTCCGGCTTTTTTCTTTTTGCTTATGTGGTGCTGAGGAATCGAACGCAGGGCCTCATGCATGCAAGGCAAGAGCTCTAACACTGAACCACCTTCCCAGTCCAGAAAATTAATGTTTTTAACATCAACAACAGTGACAGTCACCACTTAAATCTTCACTAGGGTAAGAACTGGATAACAGCCATGTGAACAAGCCAGCCGAAGGGCGAGAGGGCTGTGAAAGGCAGCGAGCCCTGCGCCAGCGGCACACTGACCTGGGCTGTCCTTGGTTACCCCACATCATGGTAAAGGGCAGCCTGGGCACCGCCCAACTCAAGTATGAACACAGATGATTGACTTCTAGCTTCAAATTAGAAATGCAAATAACAGGCAAGGAATATGTGGATAAATACAAAATCTTGGATTTGCAGAAAGTAGATCGAGCTGTAATCCTAGCTTCTCAAGAGGCTGAGGTCTGAGGACTGTAATTTGAAGGGGTGGGGGGTGGGTGGGGGGAGACAGTAAAGTCTATGAGCCTTACCTGCAATTAACCAGCAAAAAGCCTGAAGTGGAGCTGTGGCTGTAATGGCAGAGTAGCCTTGGGGGAAAAAGCTTAAGAGACAGAGTTGAAGCACCAGAAATGGCATTCACACACAAAAACAGAAGACTGGCAAAATCCCTGCTACTTAAAATAGATGCACAGAAACACATTTTTTCTGAATTCCTAAACTGGGCATTTAAAATAGGGATGGATTTTAAAAAAAGCAAAGAGAATCATTCAGTATTTCCAGAGGTAAGCTTTGATTTATAATGGTTCCTTAAGACAAAGTTTCATTTAGTCATATATAATTCATTGCATTTCACTATTTTTCTGTTAATTAAAATAATTAAGGAATTACAGTATTAATTATATACATTTAGAAGTATTCCTTCCTGTTTAAAAAAAATCCCTAAATTGTTCACATACCCAAATAATTTGTTACTAGTACTTCACAAGGAATATCATTTTTATTATGTAATCACAAAATCATAATTTCTGTACAGGAATGTAAGTGAACATTAATCAATTCATTGATAACTCACTTCATAAAGAGGACAAACACTACAGAACATATTATAAAGAAAAATATTGCAAAATTTTCTGGCCTTGCAATGCACTTTTTAGTGCAAGTATTTAAGACATAACAGTGTTCAATTCAGCAAAATATTGCAGAATGTCATGCCACAGTCCACTTGATTCAGAGGGTGAGGACATGCAGCTTGTCATAAAACATCAGAGTGTCTATATATATATATATATATGTATGTATTTATATATATATATGTAAAAAACCACATGTGATTCATAAAATATATAGTGGTTTATTTAGATGGTTTTAAATGATTTCACTGTAGAATTCAGCGTAACTGGAACAAACATCCACTGTCTTCTTAACAGGATTAATTTTTATTGCTAGGCAATGGCTTTGGCTTCAGGTAGGAATGCCTCCCAGTATTTTATCAGCTGTGAATGACAAGAAAAGTAACATTCTCATTACTTTTATGACATTTTAATGCATATATTCTATAAGACATTTAAAGAGGTCTATTGAGCTAGCTCACATGACTAACATAATGTCTGGTACTTCTTTTCTTGCTTATTGTTTTGCTTTGTTGGGGTCTTTTTGCTTGGTTGTGGGGCTTAAACTCAGGGCCCTGGGTGTTTTACCACTTTGAGCCACAGCTCTACTTCTGGTTTTTGGTAGTAAATTGGAGATGAGTCTCACAGAAGTTCTTGCCCTGGCTGGCTTTGAGCCATGATCCTCAGATAGCATCCTCCTTAGTAGCTAGGATCATGGATGCAAGCCACTAGTGCCCAGCTTGCTTCTTCTTTTGAGACAAGATCTCACTATGTTCTCTTAGACTGGCCTCAAACCCAACCTCCAATCCAGCTCGGCTCCAGTAGTGAATGCCTATAAATCAATCCTAGCTACTCAGGAGGATAAGATCTGAGGATCAAGGATTGAAGTCATCCTGGGCAGCAAAGTCCATGGATCCTTATTTCCAATTAACCAGAGCCCAAGGAACTCGGGCCAGGGTAAAATATAACAACAAAAACCTCAAAAACAAGTACAAATTAAAAATAAAACTTAATAAACAGAACCATTTTGCTGGGCACTGGTGGCTCACGCCTGTAATCCTAATTCCTCAGGAGGCTGAGAGCTGAGGATTCCATTTCAAAACCAGCCAGGCAGGAGAGCTCGAGACTCTTATCTCAGATTAGACCCAAGGCTAAAGTGGTAAGAGTGCTAGCACAGAGCATAAAAGCTCAGAATCAGGGCCCAAGCCCTGAATTCAAGCCCAAGGACAGGAAAACAAAACAAAACAAAACAAAAACCCAAACAACCCCCCTCAACTTTCTATGAACATTTACTCACAAATTTGTTTAGGGAAAATTCAAACCAGGAAGAGAGTGTTAGGCAAGGTGTTAGGCCTGTGCTCTGAACACACAGGAGGAGGAGGAGACTCAAGGACTGAGAATTAAAATGTACAGAGGAAGTTCCAGACCAGCCCCGACCACATGAAACCTTGAAGTGAAAACAAAACAAAATGCCCCAGGCAGGTACAAGGAAAGTTGTAAGGTTTTCCTGGCCTAACACTGGGAAACTTTAGTCTCTGCAGACTGTTTAGAAGAAGCAAACACCAAAAAGGTTTCCAATTAGCCAACATTTTGTCGCATTATTGCCACTGGCTATCTCCACCCTTTTTTTTCTCTTGCCTGAGCTTAAAAGACTATTTCATTAATCACCTTGTTTTTAAAAAAAATTAGCTTACCTGTTGTTGTGTTTGTACTAATGATTCCAGGTATTTGATGATAACAGCTTTAAAGTCTTTCACTCGTTCTTTCTGTTAAGAGTACAACACAAAAAAAATCTATAAGTAGAAAACTAAATTTAATTTTATCATAAAATTATTGAAAAACATGGCCATGTTATTAAGTGTAAAACTATTTATTAATACATGCCTCAAATCTTCCCACTTCTTTTCGAATTGTTTTAGAAATCTGTTCAAAATCTCTTTCTCCTTGTTGTACTTTCGCCTCCCACTAATAAAAACAAACAAACAAACAAACATTTCATTTTTGTCTGGAAGAAAAAGAGCACAGTACTAGTTGTCATGATCACTCATTTAACTTAACGTACTGACCAAGGATACCAAAGAAACTCTGTACTGGCAAAATCCAATCTACTACCGTTCAAAGTTGTATCTCCACTTTGAAGTCAAAATTCACATTACCTTAATTTTCATTAATTCTTCTCTGCTAAAGTCACTCAAGATTAGAACATTTCAGCCAGTGCTGGTAGCTCACAGCTGTTAATCCTAGCTGCTAGAAAGACAGAGATTTGGGAGGATTGTGGCTGGTGTCCAACCTGGACAGGCAGTTCCTGAGACCAAGTCTCAACCAAAAGGTATGCACAGGTGCTACCCATCTGTCACCCCAGCTACACAGGAGGCTGAGATCTGGAGGATTCTGGTTTTACAGACTAGCACAGAGTAAAACTGGGTCTAGGTCTGGTAACACATGCCTGTCATTCCTTAGCTGGGAGAGCACAAAGGGGATGCTCTTGCTTTAGGCATACGTGTGAAAAAGCAAACCCCTATATTAAAATAAGCAGAGAGTTGGGCTGGGAAGGTGGCTCAGTGGTAGAGCACTTGCCTTGCATGCATGAGGTCCTGGGTTCGATTCCTCAGCACCACATAAGCAAAAAGAAAAAAGCCGGAAGTGGCGCTGTGGCTCAAGTGGTAGAGCGCTAGCCTTGAGCTGAAGAGCTGAGGGACAGCGCCCAGGCCCAGAGTTCAGGCCCTATGATTGGTAAAGAGAGTAAAGAGAGTAAAGAAAGCTGGAGGCGTGGCTCAAGCAGCAGAGGATCTGCCTACAGAGCACGAAATCCTGAGTTCAAACTCCAGTACCACCAAAAAGAAAAAAGATTTCAGTATCTAATGAACTGTAGGATCCTGATCAATAGTGCACACCTGCCACCCCAGTATGAGGAAGGCTAAGGCAGGAGGGTTATGAGTGCAAGACCCAGAGAGATCCTGTCTCTAAAACCGCAGAGAGAGAAACATCCTCCAACAATAGCCATACGGGACTCTATAGTTTTCTCATTTTTTTATTATCTCAGAATAATATTAACTTCAAGAATACATGTTTATCATAGTTTCTGTGTTCATGGAAATACTTCAAAATAAGAAAATCATATGACAAACATTAAAAAAATTATAATGGTAAACAACTAGGTTAAAATAAAAAAGTGGAATTATATTTTGCTGACAACCAACCCATCAGAAATCACTAAACTGAGTGAGTACAGAAACACCAAGCCTTGTGATTAGTGACCAATGGAACAAGTAAAACACAGATTTAAGCAGTGAAATATTTTTTCCCACTATGTAGCCAGAACACTGGTACATACTCTCCAAAGAGCAGGTACATTTATTTTTAGTAATATAAAGGTTGTCCTACCTCTTCAATTTCCTTATTGAAGCATGGCAAAAAAAGTGTATAAATTATAATAAACTTATACAAATTATTAAATAACCATATATAATACATATATATGGGGGTAATACCGCCTCAACAACTAATTCTAGTACAGGTCTATCTCTGAAACCACTTTTTTAATACAAAATGATTCATCATTTGAAATCAACTTAACAAGTTAAAAGGAAATATATAACCATTTATGTAAGAGCTAATTTTAGATTTTTTTCCTCATATGTTTCTTTATCCATTCTATAGTTAAGTGGAAGTAACAAAGGGCTTTGGAGATTTTGATAATTAAAATGTTAAAGTACTTCTACCATAGTTCATAAAAATATGAACAGCTACTGGTTGAATGGTTCAGAAAAAAATATATGAAAAAGTATGCAAATAAGAATGGCATGAACAATCTGAGTAAAGAAATAAAGCATTCAGCAATCACCTCTCTTATCTCATTCTTAGCTTGCTGGACTTTATCAGGTTTGTTAGCAACCATCATTTTTGCCTCAGTCTCACGTTTTTTGAGCAAAGTAATCTGAGCATCTTCCCATTTCTGCCAGCACTTCATTCGATGGTCAAACACACCCTATTGAGTGAATAACAGGATGCCAGTAAGTGACACTGTGCAACACGGCCGTTCTACAAGTGCTATAATTCTTAAGGCCATAAGGCCAAATACTCCAATACTATCCTACTATGCAAAGACAGTCAAAATAAACAACACCAAAGATAACTTTATTATTTGCTTGAAACAAAAACCTGTGACTGGATGAGAAATAAGAACTCAGGATAAAAACAAAACAATAACAACAACAACAAAACCAACCAAAACCCGACATAAAAATACATTTTATTAGCCTTAGAGTTTTAAATGCAAGTTAGAATGAGATGTGTAACCATTTGCTTTGAAAAAAGACACTATGAATGGGGAAAATGCTGGTATTGTATCTATAAAAGCATATTTGTGTTGAAAACAAGTTAGAAATTAAAAGAATGAAATTCAATAATAAGAAAGGAAAAATGTGGTAGAAAAAGATCCCAATGACTAATGTAAAATGCTAAGCAATTAAAAATAAATTCTCAAAACAGTGGGAGGAAAATATATTTCTATAGATTTCTACAGATTAAGGTAAAATTATCTCTATTTGTTCTTATAAAATACAGAAGTAAGTGAAAAAATAGCAGAGACTATCAACTGAACAAGGCAACCAAATCAGCTTCTTCCAAGAGTCTAGCAGAGCAAGAGCAAACAAATAAAGAAAAGAAATGAGATGGAATAAATGGATAGAGGTATTATAAATTCCTGTTCTAGCTTGAGGTTTGAGGAATGAATCATTTTAGTATTTATTCATCGAACACATGAAGCAATAACTAATTAGGTGAACTAGAACAATATTACATCAGTTTATTCACAATCACTTTAAATTTAAGTAGTAAATAAATATATGTCCTTATATATTTAAAAAATATGAAGGGGCTGAGAAGGTGGCTCAGTGGTAGAGTGCTTGCCTTGCTTGCATGAGGTCCTGGGTTGGATTCCTCAGCACCACATAAGCAGATAAAGCCGGAAGTGGTGCTGTGGCTCAAGTGGTAGAGCACTAGCCTTGAGCTGAAGAGCTGAGGGGCAGTGTCCAGGCCCAGAGTTCAAGCCCCCTGACTAACCAAAAAAAAAAAGAAAAGAAAAGAAAAAAAGGTTTGGGGGACTGGGAGAACAACACCCAGAGACTGCTTACCTAGCAAGGGTAGTGAGGCTTTGGGCTTCATACCCAACACCACAAGAAAAACACAAAATATAAAACAAAAATAGATGGGCTCCTGTGGTTCCACTTTTGTAATGTTAGCTATTCAGGAGGCTAAGCCAGATGAAGCAGAGAAGCCTACTGGACTGGAGGTGTGGCTCAAGTGGTAAAAGACCAGTTGTAATTGAAAAGGCCCAGGTCAAATTTAAGCTCAGTGTGTACACACACCCACACACACACCCACACACACTAGGTGGACTCTGAAACACACACACACACTAGGTGGATTCTGAAACACATCAAATATTAGTTTTGCCACTGTAATATCCTTAAATTCTAAAAATATATTTTCTTTCATTCTTTTTTTTTGCCAGTCCTCAGACTTGAACTCTGGGCCTAGGAGCTGTTTCTGAGGCTCAATGCTCTCTATTACTTGAGCCAGAGCTCTACTTCTGGCTTTTTGTGGTTAATTTGAATTAAGAGTCTCATGAACTTCTTACCCTGGCTGGTTTTGCAATGTGGCCCTCAGATCTCAGTCTCCTAAGTAGCTAGGATTAGAGGCACCTGGCAAATTATAAAAATTTTAAAGGGGTAAAGGATATATATATATATGTCTGTGGGTTAGAAATAACACAACAGCAGCAGAGTGACAGCCTAGTGGATGCCTGTTACGAATTACCTGCAGGTATCACACACCCAAATGTACTTGCTCACGCTACATTTCCATCAAAAATACCCACTTAGTAATGAGACTTAACCATGTATTTATCTGGTATGGTGGTAATATTTGGAATATGCTATTTAAAACTACAGCCAATTGGCAACTAAGTATCCACATGGACTGGTCCCAGGACTCCTGCAGAGATGAATAGGAAAGAGGGCAGTATTTGCCTATTACTTTAATGCACCCCCTACTTGAAATCATCTCTAGATTATTTATAATACTTCATAAAACATGTCTGTTAGGTAAATAGTTGATTATCTATCTATCTCTCTATCTATCTAGACTTAATAAACTTATTTTGGTGCCAGTCCTAGGACTTAAACTCTGAGCCTGAGTGCTGTCCCTGAGCTGCTTTGCTCATTTACTGCTCTACTATTTGAGACATGCTCCACTTCCAGACTTTTTTGGTGGTTAATCAGAGATAAAGAGTATCATGGACTTTTCTGCCTAGGCCGGCTTTGAACCTCAATCCTCAGATCTCAGCTTCCAAAGTAGCTAGGATTACAGATGTAAGCCATCAGTGCCAACTTAGGTGTATTTCTGACAATTAGGAGTTTTGACAAGAAATTAGTATGTATATATTCAGTACATATGTGATTTTCTTCCCAAATGATCCAATTTTGGTTTCCTGAATACTTAGCTGTGGAACTCACTACTATGGAGGACCAGCCATATTTAAAAAAAACTGTGCATGTTTTAAATTTACCAGTGTTAACTGCCTAGACAAAATGGCAAATCATATAACTTTACATGTATTTAAATCTATGCATAACTTTGCTTCAGCCAAATTAATTTGGATCAAAATCACAATATATCAAACACAAAATTTTATTACTTATTCATTTATGCATGTACTGGGACTTGAACTCAAGGCCTGGGCACTGTCCTTTGGCTTTTTTGCTCAAGTAAGACTGGTGCTTTTCTAATTCAGCCATAGCTCTCATTTTTTTTTTGCAAAACATGTTGCCTTTATTGCTGCAATATCCAAAGACATTTGAAATATTAAAACTTGCCCAGAACATTTGTGCCACTAAACACAGGATCCTTATTGCTTTTTGCTGGTAACTTTCCCAGGGTCCTTGGATCTCAACCTCCTGAGTAGCTATGATTATAGGCATGAGCTATGGTACCCAGCAATATCAGTTTTTTTTTTTTTTTTTGTTGGTCGTGGGGCTTGAACTCTGGGCCTGGGCGCTGTCCCTCAGCTCTTCAGCTCAAGGCAAGCACTCTATCACTTGAGCTACAGCACCACTTCCGGTTTTCTGGTGGTTTATTGGAGATAGGAGTCTCACGGTCCTGCCCGGGCTGGCTTTGAACCGCGATCCTCAGATCTCAGCCTCCTGAGTAGCTAGGATTACAGGCGTGAGCCACCAGCGCCCGGCTCCCAGCAATATCAGTTTTTAAGTTGTTAATGTATGACAACTTTTCACTGAGACACTAAATTTAAATTAACTTGGACCCTATGCAATTTGTTATGTCACGTTTATTGTGGTATAGATGTAGGAATTTTATGAGGTAAGATTACTAAAGCTTAACAGTCAGGTTATTTCAAAAAAAAAATTTTTTTTTTTTTAAACTCTCCTTGAACTGAAGGTCTGGGTGCTATTACTTAGCTTTTTTGTTCAAGGCTTTACCACTTAAGTCACTGTACTACTTAGGGCTTTTGGCTGGTTGGTTGGAAGCCAAGAGTCTCACAGACTTTTCTGCTCAGGCTGGCTTTGAACCACAATCCTCAGATTTCAATCTCCTGAGCAGTGAGGATTAAAAGTGTGAGCCACCAGCACCTACCTGAAAAAAATTAATCTTGTAATCTTGATTTTGTTGTTGTTGTTGGTTGTGGGGTTTGAACTCTGGGTCTGGGCGCTGTCCCTCAGCTTTTCAGCTCAAGGCTAGCGCTCTACCACTTGAGCCACAGTGCCACTTCTGGTTTTCTGGTGATTAATTAGAGGTAAGAGTCTCACAGACTTTCCTGCCCTAGCTTTGAACTGTGATCCTCAGATCTCAGCCTCCAGAGTAGATAAGATTATAGGCATGAGCCTCCAGCGCTGGTCTAATGAGATAAATTTATCTTGTTTTCATAGTCTCATAAAGTAGGAACAGAAGAAAACAAGCTGGGCACTGATGATTTATGCCTATAATCCTAACTACTCAGGTAGAGGATTAAGGTTCAAAGCTAGCCCAGTCAGACAAATCCAGTAGACTCTTATCTCCAAATAGGCAGAAAATACTCATAAGTGGAGGTATAGTTCCAGTGCTGGAGCACCAGCCTTACGTGAAAAAACCAAACAAAATCCTAAGGCCCAAAGTTTAAGCTCCAGTACCACCATACTAAAAAAGAATAGGAAATAATGAAAAAATCATTTTAGCAACACTTAAAAAAATATTTTTTTTTGTGGGGCAGCACACAAACTCATAATCATCCTGTCTCAGCACAATTTCAAGTGTGTATTACCACACCTAGCTGCTTAAAGAATTTTACAAAGATCCTAAGTTATATTTTGTATGTATGTATGTATGTGTATATATACGTATGTATATATGTATGTATGAATGTATTAAATGGGTTTCCTGAATAGTTTCAAAACTGTGCATAATATTTTCACATTCACTTAATTAGAATATGGTTACATTTCACCCTCAAATTTCTTGGTGGGCTCAGAAAAGTGTATCATATTTACAAACCTAGACCAGCTTGCAAACAAATGTATTCATAAATTGGCTGGGAAATGGAAGTCCAAACTGGATGATGAGTATAAACCAACAGAATTGGTTTTCTAAAAGAGATGAGTTGCCAATTTAAAATAGCATTGCTAATCCAGACGTGGTAACACATACCTATAAATCTTAGCATTCAGGAGGCTGAGATAGCTGTAATCCTAGCTAGCCAAGAGGCTACGATCTGAGGATCACAGTTCAAAGCCAGCCTGGGCAGGCAAGTCCATGAGACTGTTATCTCCAATTAACCACAAGAAAACCGGAAGTGGCACTGTGGCTCAAGTAGCAGAGCACTAGCCTTAAGCTGAAGAGCTGAGGGACAGCGTCCAGGCCGGAGTTCAATGACCCACAACCAACCCCTCATACCCGCCCCCCCCCAAAAAAAAGATGCTAAGATAGGAAGATCAGGAATTTCAAGCCAGTTTGGGCTACATAGGGAGCTCTTGTCTCAAAAAATAAAGTTTATTATTTATTAGCATAAAATAACTGCACAAGAAGGTTTCATTTAGACACTATTTGGAAATAAGTAAAGGATTAGAAAAGAAAAAATAAAAAGAGGAAGAGGACAAAAAAAGGGAAGGGGGAGGCAGAGAGGAAAGGAAAGTAAGGAATGTAAATGGCTATCATTTGTAAAGGTTTTTAAATTCCTGCTAAAAAGAGATCACAATTTAATATAGGAAAAAAGTCCTTCATCATCAGACAGAACAGGAAACATATTTTGGTAGTCATATATGGAAACAAAGTTATATGGTAATACTTACTGAAATTTAAAATCCATATAACCTTGACCAATGCTTCCATTTCTAGGAATTTTAATAGACTAGTTAAATAATTCAGGCGCGCGCGCACACACACGCACGCACGCACGCACGCACGCACGCACACACACACACACACACAGTACATAATGGAACACTACGTCATCATTTAAAAAATTCAGTAACTTTAAATAACTAGAAAGAAAATGTAATTACCAGGAGCACAACATTATTAAAAAGAATAAACAAAAGCAAAATTAATCATTTTATCAACTCTAAGAAAGCATCCTTAAATACCATCTTCTAGTAATAACTGTTAGCATTAGTTTAAAAGCCAAAAAAAATCAATAAGCATAAGGAAGCAAGGAACAGTATCTAAAATTAACTTTCTAGATATTTAAATTGCCTCCTGGTGAAAACTAACATTTAGAACAATAACTCAGCTACCAAAACATCATGATATTCTGAAAGATGTGATGGACTTATTTAATCCATTCAGTTCTGCTTAAGAGTCTGAACCCAGAAATACCTGTAGAATACTAAAATTTCAACTGAGTTACTTCCCCAACAATTCAGAAACTTGATTACTAATATTTAAACATCATTAGCCACTACAATCTATGACCTAATCCAGTGACTACACACTTGGGTATACAGAAAGAACCCTCCATGAAACATGGCACAATATTAGCTCTATTAATGATTATAAAGTCCAGTAGGTAGTACCAGTTACTACCAGGATGCGCAAACATACAAACAAAGTGTACATATGAATTTTAAGTAAATATGTAATTTTCTTCAGCTTGTAAGGTGCTTCTTAGACCTCTTAAAAATATTAATTCTGTTTACTGTACAATTCAGAAGGCAAGAAAGTACTAGGCTGGGTACGCAAATTGAAGACTAAATTTACATGTACTAGTATAAGTACTAAATTAAGTACTAACGTACTTAATTATGTGTCTAATAGTAAACCATATTCTTTTTAGAACAAAGAGAAAAGACTGCAAACGGCTTACTTTTACAGCAGCAATAAGACGAATGTAGTCACTAAGCAGTTCTGAAAACATGTAAAAGTCCGCAAAAGCTTGTTCTTGATGTAACTGGTCTATCTTCTCCTCAAGCTCTGCAAGCTGAGACAAAGCTCTAGATAAAGCAGTATGGTCCTCAGAATTACCTAACATGGCAGCACTTTTAGCAAAGGCAGCAGTGTTGGCTGAAAGTTCTGAAATGAAAAAGCATGAACTATTTCTCTGGTAAAGATTTAAACGATTGTAGTAACTGGTCTCCACTCTCTAAACTTGGTTAATAATATTTTAAATTAGTGAACATGCAACAATTAGGCATGCAAATGCTTTGCACAAAATGCTACGTGCTCAGGGATCATAGAAGATCAAGAAGAATCTTTGCTGGGCTGGGGAGGCAGCTCAGTTACAGAGCACATGCCTATCGCGGACAAGGCCCTGGGCTTGAGCCTCAGTACAGCTTCCCCTGCTCCCAGTCACTGCTTATAGTATCAACTGATAAGCTATATTTGTGAGATAATTTTAATAATGTTTCTTCCTCCCACTCAAAACACTCATTCTTTCTTTATTCATTCCTAAAAGACAAGAAACGTATTTCAAGTAAAACAAGCATTAAGTTCATGATGGTTTATATCACATTCATTGGCATTGAACAGGTCACTGAAAATGTTGGGAATTTTTAGTGAGAATATTATTTGGCTAATAGAAAAAAGGTATAACTGCACATAAATTCATGTCAATCCAAGGTCTTTCACTGGTGTAATGGTTTACAAAAAATATTAGAATCTTTTTTTTACCAAGTTTACAAAAAATAGTTTTTTTTTTCATATGACTACTTAAGGTATTTCAGATAATGCAAAGTGGGTGTTACTGGCTGGACTTTGCCAGTGACAATTAGGTTCCTGAGAAATTGCTCTGCTGCTCTATATATTCTAAAGTTCTCTAAAAGAACCACAGAAGTCATTCCCTAAGAGGTATATATTACAAATGGCAAACCTGTGACAAATTACAAATAATATAATAAACAAAATGACATGTTAGTAGGTTTCTATCAATTTTCTTAAATGAAATTACAGGTAATGTCAGGTAATAAAATCCTTAAATAACTTGAAAAATTGTACTAAGAGCCTTGGATTCTTTAAGAACAAACCAAAAAGACAAACTTCATTGTGAGGGGGAAAATTTAAAACTCAAATTTTCTATGAATTGTTAAAAGAAAAAAAAAAGCCACCTAACTAGCCACACAAAAAACAATGTGGTCTGAAAATAAGTAAAATACTTTTAATAGGTTTCCCAGAAACAAAGTACAAAGCAAACACAAAAGATCAATGATCAATTTTTGAATCTCAAGTCACTGTATATACCTAAGAAGATACCTTCATTCATTAAATTATAAATACATTAAACAAATAAATAAGTAACTATCTCAATCCAAAATTCAAATTTATATCTCTTACAGTAACTTCAGGGTAAAGATTTAAATAAAGTATTTTAATTAACTTTATGGTGCTAAACACAAAAGTAATAAAACAAACCTTTTCTATGACAGACCAAGGCTTCAACACTAACATGAAGTTTCCGAAGTTGCTGGTCAAGATTCTCAAACTGCTGCTGCTTTTCTTCAAACCACTAAGAAAAAAATGAAAAATGGAGCTAATTTAGGAAGAACAAACCACTGTAAATCAGGTTACCAATAGCAAGCCACATTCTTTGTTTTAAAGCAACAAATTAACCATGTATAACCATGGTGGCCAACTGATGTGGCCGAGACCTACATTCAATAAACAAATTAATATCCTATTTTCTACTTGTGCAACCTTAAAATGCAATTGTTGGGCTCATTAATTCATCTCATTATTCAAGTCGAAAAATCAGCTCTTACAGCATCCGATTCATTCATCTTGATTGTCATTTTGTTGACAGCGTCGGCAGCCTTGTTCACCATCCTCAATATTCCTGCTCCACTCAGAGCCTGGGTATTAACTGCTCTAGGCAGCTGGAATTGAATGACAAATAAGGGCAAACAAACCGGTTAAAAGCCTAGAGGTTTAACTGGGCACAAAAGAGACCTCTCTCCCCCAAATAAAAAAAAGAGAACAGAAAAGAAAAGAAAAAAAGAGTTTGTATTTTCTTTACTCTCATACATTTCAATAGTGAGATCTAATTTCTCAAATATACTACTTGTACATTCTCAAAGGAAAACTTAAAAAATAGACTTTCCATTTGCTTTCCTTCTGCACGTTTACATTTAGATAGAACAAACACTGTTTGTCAAAACACATTAAGAAATTGCCAAGTACACTAACACTGGCAACCTGTTCGCTAGCAGACATAAACTGATTACAAAGGAGAGACCATTTTGAGAAAATCTCCTATGCTAGCAGTTATTTAGGATTTTGTAGTGTGTGTGTGTGTGTGTATATATATATATTTTTTTTACAAATTCTGAGTCTCAACTAAATTAAAAAAATATCTTAAGGTCTGGGAAGATGGCTCAGTGGTATAGAGTGCTTGCCTTGCAAACATGAGGCCCTGGGTTTGATTCCTCAGCACCACGAAAGCAGAAAAAGCCAAAGTATGCTGTGGCTCCAGTGGTAGAATGCTAGCCTTGAGTTGAAGAGCTGAGAGACAGCGTCTAGGCCCACAGTCCAGGCCCCATGACCAACAAAAAAAGAAAATCTCAAACAATAACAATTATAATATTCAACTGTTTTAAGAAATTCCAAAGCCAGACATTGGTGACTCACAGCCGTAATTCTAACAATACAGGAGGCTGAATTTGAGGACCACAATTCAAAGCCAGCTTAGGTATGAAACTATTATCTCCAATTAACCAGAAAAAAGCAGGAAGAGGAATTGTGGCTCAAGTGGTAGAGTGCCAGCCTTAAACAAAAATGCTACAAGGGGGGGGGGGCCTGTCTTCAAACCCTAGAACCTACACTCCCCCCACATGCACGCACGCACGCACACGCGCGCGTGCACACACACACACAAGAACCCCAAATGTACCAAAAATCCCAAATACAAAGAACAATCTGGCTATAATTTATAATTTTATAAAATACATTAATATATTTGTAATTTAGTATTTATTTATTGCTGGTTCTGGAGCTTGAACTCAGGGCCTGGGCATTGTCCTAAAGCCTCTCTGTGCTCAAGGCTAGTGCTCTACCACATAAGCCATAGCGCTACTTCCAGCTTTTTCTGTTTTATGTGGCACTGAGGAATCCAACCCAGGGCTTCATGCATGCTAGGCAAGCACTCTACCATTAAGCCACATTCCCAGTCTAGTATACATTTTAAAGTCATATAACTTGTATATTGAAACCTTCAAAAAGAACTCAAAAGACACAAAAACACATATTTTAGCTTTTTCTAAAGTTTCAACATAATGCCTAAACAACTTAAGTAAACATTCAAAGTTATACTATTAACAAAGCAGTCTCTCAGATCTGCATTTAAATCTTGAAGATAAAGACTGATTGTTCTAAATATGTCACTACAATGCTAGTAATTTAGTCACATAATTAAAATACTAAGCAAAAAAATTACATATTCACACAAGCATTGCTTTAATCAATCTACTAACTCATTCTTGGTTACCTATTTTAATGCAAATGTAAATGAGACAAGTTATACAAATTTATTTTAAAATTATAAAATTTATATATATAAAATGCTTAAAGTAGAAATACCTCTGAACTTTCCAAGAACTGTCTTAAGTCAGGGTCCTGAAGTAAAGTTGGATGTTTTACTGTTCTTTGAAGATACCTACATTTAAGAGTAAAATTGCTCCTTTATTAACTGTATTTTAAATTGATTTTAACAAAATAGTAAAAATAACAGAAATTAAAATTACATGAAAAGGTGTTCAATGTCTGCCTATTTATATGCTCTCACTTAATTTAGAATCTTATAGCAATTTAATAATTATAATCATCTTTTGAAAATAAGCCATTTCTCTTAAAAGATTATATGAAGAGAGACCAGGCACTGGTGGTTCACGTCTGTTCCTAGCTACTCAGGAGGCTGAGACATGAGGACTGTGGGTCCAAGCCGGACAGAAGTTCCTGTGACTCTCACCTTCAATTAACCAGTAAATAACCAGAAGGGGAGCTGTGTGAATAAAATAGAGAGCATAAGCCTTGAGTTAAGGCAAGTGCGAGCTAAAGGTCCTGAGTTCAAGCCCTGGTACCAGCACATACAAAAATTATATGATGAGAAATGGCTGAGGAGGTATGGGAGAGGATAAAAATGGGGAGAAACAAATTTCTTTCTAAAGTTTTAGGGTTGTCAGATGATACATGACTGAGTTTAATGATGTTATTTTTGGGTGAAATGAGGATGTTCTTAGTTATACATGTTTTTATGTATCGCCTGTTATGTATCACCTAACAGGGAAACTACTCACCGATGTTTCTGCTTGTCTGATTTCAATGATCACAATGAGCTTTGGTTTTTGACTGATGATGAGTCAATTGTTCAGGTTTTTTCTTTACTAGAAATTTTTTTTTTCCCCTAGTACTGGGGTTTGAACTCAGAATTTTGTCCTTATTCAGCTTGCTTTCAGGGTTGGTGCTCTACTAGTTGAGGCATGTCTCTAATGTGTGTTTTTTTTCCTCTAGTAATTTTTGGAGATAGAATCTCAAGTATTGTTCTGCCAAGATGACTTCAAACCTACACACTTTGGATATTAAGACACCTGAGTAGCCAGGATCACAGGTGTTAGCTACAGTGTTCGATTTCTATTTTTTAAGTAAGATAATAGAATATTCCTAAAACATAAAATCTCAAGAGAAAAAAACCCCACGAAAACCTCAGTAATCAAATTCCATACAATGGTCCCAGTGACTATGATGTTTAAAAGGTAATTTGTTTTATACATTTAAATAGACATATGCCACAGTATAAACTCCATTTTCAGTTAATAGTTCACATTAGAAGCCGTTGTAATAAAAAACAGAACATTTAGTAGTTATGTGCAATATACTACATAATGCAGTTAAAAAAATCTCCCTTTATTATAGAGCTAAAGCAGATGTTGTGAGAACAATCTTGTAAGTATAAGAAATGTCAGTATTTTCCCACTGGAATTTAACTTATAATCTTAACTGTGAAAGTCTCCCAACACTATTAGGTAAGCTATTTAGTTGTTTACACTTCATACTACATGTGTCTTAAGTGGTTAACATAGAGCTAGCAAACACTGGTAAAATGAGCAAGTGGGAAGAATGATAAAGCATCTAGCAGTCAATCTAAGAAACATTCCATTATTTCAAACAAATGGAAATACCTAATACTACTTATATTCTAAAACCATTTTCTGAAGTGAAATAGGCAGATTTCTGGTCTCAAGCAATAGGTAAAAGACTGATTCTATGATCAAGAAAGTTTGAAATAAACTTACATATTTCTCTTGAAAAATAATATTTAATGGCATTATATTAATGCCTGAAAAATCCTTCAAGAAATAAACTTGGTTTAATTTTGATAAACATTGTATTGACAAAAATCAATTGTTCCACTTTTTTCATTTTGTCACTTTGCTTTATGAGGAAATCAATTGTGGAAAATAAAACAGCAAAACTTTCCTTCTTGTTACAGGCTACAAGGAAGAATTAACTAAAAGAAAAGGAAATAAAGATATGAAAAAGGCCCGGCATCTGTCATCCTAGCTACCTCAGAGGCTGAGATCTGAGGATCGCAGTCAAAGCCAGCTCTGGCAGGGAAGTCTGAGACTCTTATATCTCCAATAATCACCAGAAAACCAGAAGTGGTGCTATGACTCAAAGTGGTAGAGTGCTAGCCTTGAGTGTAAAAACTCAGGGACAGCCCTCAGGCCCTGAGTTCAAGTCCCATGACCAACAGAAAAAAAAAGTATGAGAAACAGAGCCATCAGAGGACAGAATGGGAGGCACAGGGAATGGATAAAAATGACAGACACAACAAAAGCAGTGAGTATGTAATTGCTCTTTAGATCTTTTCAAGGAAAGGTTACTAACAAATTGACAATATTTTGTAGGGTTTCCAAGTTCCTTTGTACTACTAAAAACAATACAAAATAAAGAGGTTATAGACAATACCTGAGACCAACAAATTTAAAAATAGTTCTTTCTTTACATTTCTAGAGCTGTGTCATACCATTCTTTATGCCCTCTGCTGGAAAAATAGAATCAAGTCTTAATCTAGGCATGCATTTTTATTGTCTCCTTTAGTATTACAGATGTAGGACAGTGATGTATCACATCTCTGTGAATGTAAAACATCTTGTACTGACTTTATGATATGTAGTACTGAACTGTTATTAATGAGGTTACTCAAGAATGATTTCTTTCCAGATGATGACTGAGAAGCTAATACAAAAATAATTCCAGGTACCACAACAATAATAGAATTGTGCTTTTTTCTGAGGTTTTGGTTTTTTTCTTTTTATTAATGGGGTATCTTGAATGTCTTTAATTTTGTTCAGATGACTGTAGAACTTGGAATAGCTGGTGCTACTATTGATACAGAACATATTACTTTACTGGTCTTTTAATATGAATACACACATATGCATAATTTGAGTTTTTAGAGATTGTCCTATCAACTTTGGAAATAGTCGACTAGTTTACCATGACCACCGACTTGACAATGCACAGAAATTAAAAGTCAAGTTGGTTTACAAACATCAATCTCAATTTTTTTTCCATCTGTATAGGGTAGGGTACTGGATTATACGTGAGGTCACATCTATGTGGGTTTGATTATAGAAATTAATGAAGTATTTTCTAATAATGAAAAAAAAATCTGTCACACTAAACTTAAGTGCAAACGCTAACAATGAGAGAACAAAAAGGCAGGATGATCCTGGGTCTTGAATGGTATTTATCTGTTCATTCAACAAATATTTACTGAACACTTATCACATGTCAGACAGTAATTCTGAGTTTCTATAATACAACCGTGTATAAGAGTCACTAATACTAATTTCCTGGTGAAGCTTATAGTTTGATACAGGAAGACAGGTAATAAAGTATAAGCAACTATAATACATATGACACAGAAGAGGATAGAAAATAGGATACCTAGCAGCAAGTACGTAAAATGTGGCTGTTGACAATTTAAATAGATTAGGCCAAGTGTCACATACCTGTAATTCTGACAAAGGCAAAAGAACTAGAAGACCCTGTCTCAAAACAAAAATGCAAGAACAAAAACACAACCCTGAATGGACAAAACAAATAACTAGGTCAGAATGCCAAAAATCAAATTGTTTTCACTGGAAGACGATATCTGAACATTTAAACTTCAAAGAGGAACTGGAGTTAGCCATGCAGACCTAGGGAAGAAAGCATTCTGGGTAGAAGGTACAAAAATAATACCTGGGTACTAAAAGGTCAGTGTGGCTCAGAGCACAGAGAGTGATCTGAGTGGACAGGAGATCCACTCTGCCACTGTTAAGTACTTTGGCTTTATGAGTAAAATCAGGCATTAATGCAACTTGATCATATATTAAAACAATTATTCTAGCTGCTATATTAAAAATAAGAACTACCAAAGATGGAACAGGGAGACCAATCTAGATACTGCTGTACTTAATTAGGACTGTCATCAAAAGATCGATGAAAGGGGCTGGGAAGGTGGCTCAGTGGTAGAGCACTTGCTTTGCATGTATGAGGCCCTGGGTTCAATTCCTCAGCACCACATAAGCAAAAAGAAAAAAGCCAGAAGTGGCGCTGTGGCTCAAGTGTTAGAGTGCTAGCCTTGAGCTGAAGAGCTGAGGGACAGTGCCCAGGCCCAGAGTTCAGGCCCTGTGACTGGACCAAAAAAAAAAAAAAAAAGATCGATGAAAGACAAATGGTTGCATTCTAGATATCAAAAGCAAATGGAAGTTATTTCCTGATGAATTAGGTAATCCTAAAAAGTTCACTACCTCCAAATTCTTTGCTATAAAAGAGTAGATTAATTAATCTTTATTAACTGCTTATACCTTGGATTTTTAGGCTCATTAAATGAACTCAATATTAAATAATTCACTTATAGTTCAGAGATGGGGAAGAACACAAATAAGTAACTTGCCTGAGGTTACACAGAAATACAGTGTAGTGCAGCCTTCAACTGAAAAACAATTCTAAATCTTGTATACTAATATCATGCTCCTCTAAATGTCTCAGTTGGTATCTATTGAAGTGCATTCTTACATATATTTAATTTCAATAAAAAAACTGAGAAGTGATTAACCTTAATGCTGAAATGAACTCACTATGATCTTACGAGGTGTGAAGTATCCTCAAGAAAACCAAGTGAGCTATATCTTTATATACACCTCTGTCTGCCTCTCTCTCTTGTGAAGCAGTCTTCCTATGTAGCCCAGGCTGTCATAGAATTCCTTATCCTCGTGCTTCAGTCTTGAGTGCTGGGATTATGGGAGTGACTTTGCACTCCCAGCTTACTTTACTGTGTACCAAGATGAGATACTTCATCAGTCTTTTCTTGCTTATTATTTTATTTTATTATTATTATTATTTTTTTGTGGGTCGCGGGGCTTGAACTCTGGGCCTGGGCGCTATCCCTGTGCTCTTCAGCTCAAGGCAAGTGCTCTACTGCTTGAACCACAGTGCCACTTCCAGTTTTCGAGTGGTTTATTGGAGATAAGAGTCTCATGGACTTTCCTGGGCTGGCTTTGAACTGAAATCCTCAGATCTCAGGCTCCCGAGTAGTTAGGATTACAGGCGTGAGCCACCAGCAACCGGCTTTGCTTATTATTTTAATACCAGAAGTTTAGACTTTCATTAAAAAGTCATTAGTGTTCCCTTAGTTGAACAAATATATAAATGAAAGTTATAAAGTAATATAAAAAGAAATATTTCCCTCATCACTAGATCTAACTAGGCTGAGTGTTTCATAGATATGCTTGATTCTAATGTTTAAATCTTAAGAAACGCAACGTGGAAACCACTTAGAAAAACAAGAGATGTAAAAGGATTTTTAAAAATGCAACTTTAAAACTAAACGCAGATGTTCTCTAGGACCCAATCATACCACTCCTTGGCATCTATCCTGAGCATCATAAGCCAGTCTACAAGAACAACACTTGCATATCCGTGTTCATTGCTGCACTGTTCACAATAGACAAGATATGGAAACAACCCAGATGCCGCCCCCTCCCCCCCCCCCCCCCCCCCCCCCCCGGCAAGATGAGTGGATCCAAAAAATGTGGTCCCTGTATACAATGGAATTTTACAGCCAGAATAGAATAATGTCATTTGCAGGGAAATGGACAAAACTATAACAAATCATGTTAACTGAGGTAAGCCAAGCTCAGAGACAGCAGACATGTGTTCTTCCTGATATGTAGAAGTTAGATCCAAAACACACTGGGATACAAATTACACAGGATTCTAGATACTCACGTACAGTGAGACCAAAGGAGATAGTCTTAGGAGAGAATCACAAACATGCAATACCCAAACTCTCTCTTCCTATGTATATAAAATAATATGCATACTGAAACAAACTCCAAAGATATGGAAACAAAGGACTTTTTTTTTCTTATTTTTTCTGATGACTCTGTACTCTTTACCTTATATATGGTGTATTCACATGCACATCTGTGAGAGGGTGAGGAGGGACATAGAATTTGAGGAAAAAGGGTAAAAAAGTGCAGCAGTGGAGCGCACTGGACATCGATGAAAGTGAACTGTGCAACTTGTGGGTGGAGATGGGAGGGAGGGAATGGGAGAGAACGAGGGAACAGATGACATTACGAAAGGAAATGTACTTATTACCTGATGTATGTAAATGTAACCTCGCTGTACATCACCTCTAAAATAACAATGAATTTATAAAAGTGCAGTTTTAAAATCTTGTACACATTAAAACACAAATGTGCACAAGAACCAAGTTGGAATTGGAAAAAAAAAAAGATTGGAGTAAAAACTAAAGAATTATTCCAGTTCCTTTGTTCTACAACTTTCTGCTTGTATTTTAGTCATTTTTTTCCTAATGGAAAATCAATTTTGTTATTATATACTGCTTCTCTTTTTTAACTGTTAATTTCACTAAAGCAGTATTTAACAAGTAACATTTACCAGTAAAGAAAACTGGCTTTACACAAACACTAAGTTTCAATATTCCCTTAATAATCTCAATGTTTAATACACCACCAAGATATAGCATGTACTATCCAATGTAGTCAAGTTAGAAAGAGAACAAAGACTCAAATTTTATGTCCTTGGTAAAATAAATCTTCATTAAGTCCCTTATCAAGCATGCCATCTGAAATATTTCAAATTTACTCATAGAAAAAAATAAGACTTGAAAGGTTTTTCAAAGGGTCATGGTTACACTTTCAAGAGGAATTAAGTGAAATCAAGAGAGAACATTATATACCTTTATTCTTAAAAATATTCTATATATAACTTTTCTCACAAGATAATCAATTCTAATGGCTAAACTTTTCTTAACTCAATTTAAATCCTTTTCCTGGGTAATTTCTGATTCTCAGACATAATTCCACCTTTTAGTCAAAATACAAAAATTTTAAACTATATGGTCCACCACACCTGACTTCTAATATTTTTATCAATTCTTTTCTGTAATCGCAACCTTCATGTTTTCTTCCTACACATATAACTTCTTAGTGCTCTTAAAGACTATGTTTATGGGGGCTGGGAAGGTGGCTCTGGCAGAGCGCTTGCCTTGCATGCCTGAGGCCCTGGGTTCGATTCTTCAGCACCACATAAGCAAAAAGAAAAAAAAAGACTATGTTTATGATATAATAATATCCTCAATTAAATCATTCTTTTTTCTCCTAATAGCATAATGCAAAACTTGACATTATTTTGTTAAGACTATTTTTTTTTTGGGGGGTCTGGTTGTGGGGCCTGAACTCTGGGCCTGGGCACTGTCCCTCAGCTCTTCAGCTCAAGGCTAGTACTCTACCACTTGAGCCACAAGGCCACTTCCGGCCTTTTTTTCCCCCTGCTTATGTGATGCTGAAGAATCGAACCCAGGGCCTCATGCATGCAAGGCAAGCGCTCTACCACTGAGCCAACTTCCCAGCCCTGTTAAGACTATTAATGAGGATTAATAAAAACAATTCAAATACAGTACTGTGTTGCTGAAAAAAGCAATTTTTAAAGGTTTTGAAGCAAGTGGTTTAAGTGATTTTTTGAAAAAATTAAAGAGTAAAACATAGTTGTTATATAATGAGTTAGATTTATATTTCTGAAATAAAGCATACACACAATAAAGTATTGAATGTAGAATTACCTTTCAAGGGCTGCTCTCCGTTTTTCTACAAACTCAGTGGATGATGAATCTTCTTTACCTACTTTGACCTTGGTCATACCTTTGAAGAAGTTGAAAGAGATTCATGATTATAATGATTAAATAATTACAATCATTTCTCCAGGGTTTAAAATACATACTTCAAACTTGAACTTGTTAAAAAAAATCTCGTAAGTTTTTAACTGTTACTTAAAGGACAAACCATTTTGAGGGGTCACATTTCATCCTCTTCTTTGTAAATAAATCCCTACAGTATGACATAAAGCAGAATTTGAGTTTTGTGGAGTTTTTGACCCATATTGTTATTGATATAAAAGCTCACATCAGTTTCTTTATCTACATATTTTATACTTCTGGCAAGTGAAATGTATTTACATTTCAGAACTATTCCCCTCCTGAACGTGTCACAGGCAGGCCTCAGCATTAGTGTCTCACCACCGGCCTCATCCCTGGCTGCAATGTTCTTACATTCCAATGCTTATAACAGAACTTCTGAATAAGCAATCTGAAGCTCAATTCACATTTTCATTTTTTATAAGCAATAATTAAAGTTCTTTACTTTCAAGATGACAAAACAAAGATAAAAATATACTTGATGAACCTGTTGAACACTTTCCCTGCTACAAGAGCACGTTTTGATGACCACAGCTGGGCCGCTGAGGTTCTGTTTTACTCATTTGTTTTGTGGATGAGGCTTGTTTTGTTTTTGACCTAGCGTCTTGTTGTGTTGATCAGGCTGGCCTTGCATGACAAGGCTCAAGTGATCCTCCTACCTCAGACTCCTAAGGAGGCTCAACTCTGAATATATTAAGAGCCATTAAATGAAAGGGAAAATGACATGTTTCTGATATCTCAAAAAGAGCCTTTAAAAAAATCGCTGGATGCTGTGTTGGCTCATAGCTGTCATCCTAGTGAATCAGGAGGCTGAGATCCTGATTCACAGCCAATTTGGGCAGGAAAGTTGTAAGCCTTATCTTCAATTAACCACCCAAAAACCACAACTGGAGCTGTACCTCAAAATGGTAGAATGCTATAGCCTTCAGCACAAAAGCTCAGGGACAAAACCCAGACGCTGAGTTCAAGCCCCATGACTGACAAATTATTAAAGCATGGATTAAGGATGGGTGGACACCCAGTGACTGAAAACCTAGCTACTCAAGAAGCTGAGATCTCAGGTTCTTGGTTTGAAGCCAGATTGGCCAGGAAGTCCCTGAGATTCGTATCTCCAGTTAGTTGCCAAAAAACTAAAAGGGAAGCTATGGCTCAAATGGTAGGGTGCTAGAGTGCTGGTCTTGAGAAAAAAAGCTCAGGGATATTGACCAGGCCCTGAGTTCAAGTCCTAGGATCAACACAATAAATAAATAGGTAAATAAATATGTAGGACCAGGCATGGTGGTAACCTGTCTGTAATCCCAGATATTCAGAGGTCAAAAGAATCAGAATTTGAGCCCAATACATGCAAAAAGTCAACAGGGTAGTCATGATCTCAGTTATTCAGGAGTTAGAAGGACAGAGGTCTGAAGCTAGTCCTGGCAAAAATGCAACATCTTCTCTGAAGAATAACTAAAGAAAATAGTTGTAGAACAATTAACAGATGACCTACTTGTAGTTTAACAAAATATAACATTTTGAGAAAGAAAATTGATGACTATACTTAATTTCCTGCTTCAAGCTCCTAGTGCTGCGGTAACAGGGGTACACTCAATGCCCGGATAGCAGTTCTTAAACCGTGGTTCAGAATATTCAGAGCATCTGGCGTTTTTAGATACCCTTTCATGGGAGCTACAAGATCTCTTTTTCATAACAACATTAAGCTACTATGTTTTTTCTTAATCTCTGGGAGTTTATAAAAATCATGTGATATGCTATGTTACAACAAATTGAGACCAATTTTGTTTGTCTGAGACAGAATCTCACTGTAGCTTAGGCTGAACTGAAACTCAATATACAGCCTAAGTGATCTCAAACCAACATCCTTCTTCCTCTAATTCTTGACTGCTGCAATTAAAGATGTATAATCACACTCAACAGTTAACTTCTATTAAGCCAGAAATTAGAGATGTATAAAATAAACAAAAACAGAAAAACCAGTCTTAGGAAATGTTTTATCTTACAAAAATTATTTTCACCAGGACTTTATTTAATACAAGTTTATTCATAAATGAATGAAAACTTAAAAGCCCACAAAAGCAAAAGCTCTTTTAGAGTCTTCAAAAAAATTAAGAACATAAGGTCAGCAAGAGAACATTTGCCTAGCATGCTTAAGGCCTTGAGTTTGGGCTCCCAGCACACCACATACACATACATGTGCATGTAGCACACACGCACCATTTGATTAGATTTATAAATTAAAAAACCCAGAAATATAAAAAATTAATTTAAATATGCCAGGTTTCAAAAAAATAAACGATACCAATAAAAATGCTTTTCAGCATTTTAGCATTTAAAGTTTAAAGTATTTTTCAAGATAATCACAATGAAAAGTGAAACAAGATTAGGAAAAATACTACTGAATTTTAAGAGACAACAGGTGTTTTCAGTTGTCTTGGCAGTTAGATTAAGAAGAGTCCTTTTCTTTTGTAATTTTTCCCCCCAAGTACTAAAGCTTGAACTCCAAGCTTTCCTCCCGTGGTTACCTTTTTTGTTCATATTTGGCACTCCAATACTTGAGCCATAGCTCTACTTCTGGCTTTCTGATAGCTAATTGGAGGTAAGAGTCTCAAAAATTCGTCTGCTTGGGATGGCTTCAGACCATGATCCCCAGATCTTAGCTTCCTGAGTAGCTAAGATTAGAGGCATGAGCCACTAACTCAGATTGCATTTTTTTAACTAAGCCTTTATTATTATTTAGAACTGTAGGAATTTATCTGTTGTTCTGTGGTTTTTGTAAGTCTACTATCTAACCTGACTGGCCTAGAATTTGCAGAAACATTGAGGTATGAAATATATTGAGAGGACTTGAAATAGTTTGTATATGCACAAAGCTAAGTCAAACAGTATCCTAGGAAGGATTCAGTAAAACGGTGTTCTAATGATCCTAAAAATTACAGTTTACAACATTCAATACCCAGAGTCTGATGTATTAGAAAATAAAACTGAATGCATAATTATCATACAGAGAATGTTTATATTCTCCATCTCTAGGCATTATGAAAGAGTGAATTATGGAATCCACAAACTTTTGCAGTTAAAATTAAACTAGTAACAATAACAAAAATTATTTTTAACTTATGCTTACCTACTATACTCTTTTCTGGAGCTGGTGGCACAATGTAACCGACATGCAAATACTTGCTTGCTAATTTGCTATGCAAACCAAGAAAGTCACTGAATCTTCTTTTAACTGAAAATTCACTCTTACTGAACATGGAAAGGGAAGTCTACAAGTGAAGAATAAGCATTCAGATTTTCAATAGTAAGCAATTATCTAGAAGGTAATGCTCTCCCTGTCAACACACCCATACATACAAACAATGCTCTTCTTTGCAAAAGAATATAGAGGATATATATATATATATATATATATATATATATAGGCATACAGATTTCAAAATTTGAAAATCCCTAATTTATTGGTTTTTCCTTTTTTTTAAAAAAAAGAACTTTAAGAGGACAGAAAATATTATTTTATTCTATCCTTGACCTACCTCACCCAAAACTACAATAATGATTTATCCACTCAGCCATAATTATTACACTGATGTCTACGTTTATGTGTGTTTGTGTGTGCTGCCAGTCCTAGAGCTTGAGCTCAGGGTGTGGGCTCTGTTTCTGAGCTTTTGTGCTCAAGACTAGTTAGTGCTCTAACACTTGAACCACAGCTCCACTTCTAGCTTTTTGGTGGTTAAATGGAAATAAAGAGTCTCACAAACTTTCTTTCTGGGCTGGCTTTGACCTTCAATCCTTAAGATCTCAGCGTCCTGGGGTAGCTAGGATTATAGGCCTGAGCCACAACTAATGATTCTTGAATCTTTTTATCTTATAGCCCAAACCTCCTTCTAAATTTCAATACAGTATTTTCAAATACTCCAGGACTACTCTAATTAAATCTCACTGGCACCTCAAACTCATTGTATTTTCTTCCACTTGAGCATGAGTTCCCTAAGACAAAAAGCATTTGTTTATCTTGTTCACTACTATATACCCTGGTGCTTGCATGGAGCCCGCCCACCACAGTAAGGCTGTATTCTACCTCATCATGTCTCTACACAAATTACTCCACCAACTCAAAATTTCTCTAGTTGGCAACTTAAACACCTCTCTTCCTTACTTCTTATAGTCAAATCCTTTTGATTCTACTTTCTACATACCTCAAGAAGCCATTTGTTTTGCTCATTTCCAGAGTCATTTCCTTGGTATAAGCATTACTTCTTTCAAACTAGGGACTGCTATAGTAGATTCTGTTTTAAGATTTGAAGGCCTACAATCCTCTAATAATTGTAATGGCATCCTAGCTGGTACAATCTTGCCCTTTACTTCTTCTACCTTTCAATTTTCATAGTGAGAACAGAGATTGTCCTAAACAAAATTCTAATAGTGTCACAACTCTTATATCCCTCGCTTTAATACTTAGGACTAAATCAAGTATCTCAATGTGGCTGCTCATTATATCACATGGAGGATCGCAGCCAAACAATTCAGTCATGAACCACTTCTTAGAGATTCTAGAAAGCCCAATGCTTTCTTAAATTCTGGCTTTTACATATTCCTTTCTCATCTTCGTCTGGCTTAAAAGAACTTCTTCCCTAAGAAGCCTTGCCTACCACTCAAGTCTAGATTAGTTTTCTTCCTATACACTCTCACACAAAACACTCTATCAAATCAACTTTTGGTAAGAACCTCTTGGCAATCTTTATGAGACAGTAACCTTTAGGCTCACTTCCATCTTAAAGACTATATTCTCTACCACATAGTGACAAAAAGGCTCACCTTTGGGGGGGGGGACTGGGGGGATGGGGAGCCGGGAGAGGAGGGGATGGGAAGGGGAAACAAAGGAGGAGGCTACAATGCTTGATAAGAAATGTACTCATTATCTTGCCCATGTAATTGTAACCCCTCTGCACAGTATTTTCACAATAATAATAAAAAAAAAAGGCTCACCTTTGTTGTTACTCTGTATGCCATGTAAGCATTCATGCCATCACCTATAAGAAAAGTCAAGCAACAATAGAAAAATCATATACTTGGGTTCGTATTTAACTCATGGTAGAAGGCTTTGCCTAGTATGTACCAAGTTCCTAGCACAATAAAAATAAATAAAACAGCATGTTTAAAAATAAAGTGTTATTTTAACACTGTAATTATGTGTTTAGTCAGAAAAAAAGGACAAGATCTAACAAACGAGTAAAAAAATTTAAAATATAATAAATAATAACTCACCAACTTTTTCTGGATCTGACACACCAATTTCTATATCAAACATGTCTCCATTTGCTTCTTCTTCAATCTAGAGTAGTATATTTAATTTTGGTATTAAAATTTCCAATTTATATTACTGTCACAATTACTACTAGTAATAATTTTTCATCTATGTTTCTACTTGAGTTACTGTCATAGTAACTAACATTAAAAGCCACTTAACATTCCATTTCTGAACAACAATAAAAGTGTTATCATTTGCCAACTATGTAAACAAAACACAAATAAGGATCATTTGGAGAGAAAAAAAAATATATTGGAATTTCTCATATATAGAAAAATGCTTAACTCCTTACTTTTTCCTTTTTATTTTTTGAGGGTCTTTGTACCACAAATGGCCTCAAACTCCTGATCCTTCTTCTTCAGTCTGATTACTAGGATTATAAGGCATACACTACCGCTGGGGTCACCTGCTTACATACTTTTTAAGCCAATTTTTTTGAAGCATGATATACTTACAGAAAAGTGCATTAATTTGAAGTGTACAGATAAATAAACTTTCACAAAATGGGTCACATCTCAAATAAGAAACAAGTACTATATCCCAGAAGGTGCTCTACTGCTTCGAAGCCCTCTAGACCTCACATAACACTCCTAACAATGTTCCTTGGTTTTATCTCTTTTTATTTTTTTATTTTTTTCTTTTTTGCCAGTCCTTGGGCTTGAACTTAGGGCCTGGGCACTGTCCCTCAGCTGCTTTAGCTCAAGGCTGGAACCCTACCACTTGAGCCATCTCACACCACTTCCAGCTCTTTGTTTTTGTGGTACTGGGGAATTGAGTCCAGGGCTTCATGCATGCTAGGTAAGCACTCTACCACTAAGCTACGTTCCCACCCCAAGCTTTATTTCTTTTTAAAGTTTCATCCCATGGAATCATTCATCTGTATTTGGCTTCTGTTAATATTATGATTTTGAGGTTATTCATGTTTTTGTATGTGGTCATTTACTTGATTGTAGCCAATTTAGTGAACTATTTCTGTACAAATTATTTCAGGCCTGAACTCTGGCCTGGGCTCTGTCCCTCAGCTCTTCAGCTCACTTGAAGCCACTTGAGCCACAGCACTACTTCCGGCTTTTTTCTTTTTGCTTATGTGGTGCTGAGGAGTTGAACCCAGGGCCTCATGCATGCAAGACAAGCGCTTGCTCTACCTCTGAGCCACCTTCCCAGCCCACAAATTATTTTAGATAAATGATTTTTAAACATTTAGCTTTCCTTTTAAAATAGGCCTAAAACATTTTTGTTTCCCAAATGCATCTTATTATAAATTCCTGCTACTTCTGGGAGCCATCGGCTCATGCCTGTAATTCTAGCTACTCGGGAGATCTGAAGCTTGCAATTCAAAGCTAGCCTTGGCAAGAAAGTCCAAAAAAGTCAATAATAATAAATATCAATTACTGCCACTTTCAGAATGATAAGCCAAATAAACTTCAATTCTTCATAAACTAAAAAAAATTGCAAAATTATAAGACCATATCATTAACTGATAATAATGCCTTTCTTTTTAAAAACAAAGGCTAAAGTTAAATGGGAAATTTGGGTGAGTGATACAACACTTGCCTAGTGTGTACAAGGGCCCAAGTTTTATCCCAAGTACTACATCCATCCATCATTCTATCTCCCAACTTTTTTAGTGCAGTATTCTTTTCCTAAAATGTCTGAATGGCTTTGATTAGGAACAGCTAACAGGAAAGTGACACTAGATGGGGAACAAAAATAAATGCTACTTACATATAAATCTTAGAATACAAGCATTTTCTCGTACCTCTTCCCGGGATCTATCAAAGATCACAGGAGCAGATAGACTCTTTGATTCAATTCTAGGAGTAATGAGTGCAGTAGGGGTCACAGGGGTGACTGCAGGAGATGCGTCTGAGGAGAGAATGGGTTCCCTTTCTGGGCTGTCCAAAGAAACTTCTTCTGTGGCTTCTAGACACAAATTAAACAAGTTAGATAAGGAAATTTCAAACAACTAATAGTCAATTTGGCAGTTAATGAAATGTGAAAACATTTTTAATAATATCCAGAAATATCAAAAAATGTATTTAAACATTATTATTACAAAAGAATTTCACATATCTTTCAGTTGTTCAACTTTAAAACAACTAGGAACTTTGTCAGTTTGGAAAAAATCATATTAAATCAGCTTAATTATACTACTGGAGATTTTCTATACTAGGAGAGATGTAGCTACTTCTACATTCATTTGTGTTTAAATTTGTTATGTATCTTATACTTATAACTTACCTTTGAAATATTTTATTCAGGCTAGCATTGTGATGATGATGACGATTTTGTCAGTTGTGGGGCTTGAACCCAGGGCCTGGGAGCTGTCCCTGAGCCTCTTTGTGCTCAAGGCTAGTGCTTTACCACTTGAGCCACAGCACTACTTCTGGTTTTTGAGTAGTTAACTGCTTAAGCTGGCTTCAAACCATGATCCTCCAATCTCAGCCTCCTGAGTAGCTACAATTACAGATGTGAGCCACCACCATAAAATTTTTGGTTTAAATGGTATCTTCTAACAGAATATTTATTATGATTGGTCACTACCGAAATATATAGACAATTACCTGCAAAAAGATCTTCTCTATCATCATCTAGTTCAGCTTCTGCAGGTTTTGGACCATTGGAGTTTGCACTAATGTCTTCTGCAGGAAGACTTGCTGGTTCTGGTGATGATGGACTTGACTATTAAAAAACATACATATTGGATTAGAATGTATATCTAATACAGTACAGAAATAGATAATCCACTTAAGAAAATAACCATTATTTATATTTCCTCCTTTATGGTTAAGAATAAATCCCAAACCCACTTTTATTAAAAAAAAATCACTTAAAATTTTAAGTATCTTCCCTTTAGGGGTATTAACCTGTCCTCCTGAGTTAAAATTAACAAAACCCAACATGAACAGCAGAACTGAAATAAGATCAAGTTCCCTGATTTTTTTTTTTTTTGGGTCCGGTCATGGGGCCTCAACTCTGGGCCTGGGCACTCTCCCTCAGCTCTTTAGCTCAAGGCTAGCGCTCTACCACTTGAGCCACAGCGCCACTTTTGGCTTTTTTCTTTTTTGCTTATGTGGTGCTGAGGAATCGAACCCAGGGCCTCATGCATGCAAGGCAAGCACTCTACCACTGAGCCACCTTCCCAGCCCCAAGTTCCCTGATTTTTAAAGAATAAAGCTTTTGTTTTTGCCATTATCATGCTTGTTTTTCTTGCAGAAGATGTCTCCAAGCATGAATAGTCTTAGAAACTCAATCGATCTTGAAAGTACCTGGCATATGCAAAATGTTCAAAAACACTGCTTTTCCATAAGAAAGATTACTATCAGTTGAATTAGTTATTCTATGATTTCTGAGTTTCAAATTAAAATAGGCCCTTCTTCCAAACTTTTACATTTCAGTTAATCTAAACATTATTTTGTACTTAAACATAATGAACAAAGAAGTAGACCTCAGTTGTGAAGCTTTTATTTTCTAATAACAGTTAAAACCAAGTCTTAAACTTAAACATGAAAAGTGGACTGTAATGTAAACTATGAATTTGGAGTGATAATCATGTGTCAATATACACGTATAAATTGTCACACAAGGTGGGCATTGGTGGCTCATGCCTGTAATCCTAGCTACAAAGAAACTAAGATCTGAGGATCAAGGTTTGAAGCTAGCTCAGGCAAGAAAGTATGAGATTCTTATCTCTAATTAACCATCAGAAAACCAGAAGTGGTGCTGTAGCTCAAAGTGGTAGTACACTAACCTTGAGCAAAAGAACTCAGGGTCAGCAGTCAGGCCCTTAGTTCAAGTTCCACAACCAACGAAAATGAAATAAAATACAATTGTCACACATGTACCACCTGGGTAGGACACAGTGAAAATGGGGGAGGCTACACATGTGCAGGGCTATACATGAAGTCAATGTGACTGCCACTGTACCTTTTGTTATAAACTTAAAAATCTTAAACATATAGCAGCCTTGATTGACTCAGAAAGATGAGTAAAATGAAACATCACATGAAAAAAGTTGGTAGTTACATGAGAAAACACTTGTTAACAAATACTGCATATATTCTTCATATGTAGTTGAATTAAAAAAAAAAAGAACAATATGAAAGTAGAAGGGGACTATATGGGAAGAAGGGGACCAGTATGTGTGAAAGAGGAGTGCAAAAGAGGTCTCTGATCCATTTGGAGTTGATTCTGGTGCAGGGTATATAAGGATCTAGCTTTAGTTCTCTACAGGTGATTAACCAATTTTGCCAGCACCTTTTACTGAAAGGGCTGTCTTTCTTCTTTTCTAATTTTAGCTCCCTTATTGAAGATTAGGTGGCTATAGGTCTGCAGGTTCATTTCTGGGTTTTCAATTCTATTCCATTGGTCCTGAGATCTCTTCTTGTGCCAGTATTTATATGGTGCCATGTGATTTTTTTTGTTGCTTTCTATGTCCCTCCCCCATGGTTTAACCCCGTTTTCAGTGAATTTGATGTTGGTATAATTTGGGGAGGGGAAGGGAAAAAACAAAATGTTTAAAATAGGGATACAGATTGACTCATTGCAACAATGAGGTGTACAAGATGCTATGTCAAAAAAACAAACTTTACAATTTAGGCGGGGGTGGGGGGTATAGTTGAGGAGGTGGGATGGGAGGGGAAAAACAAAGGAAGAAGCAACAATGCAGGACAAGAAGTGTACTCATTACCTTGCTCATGTAACTGTAACCCCTCTGAACAGTATTTTCACAATAAAAACTTATTTTAAAAAAAGGGCTGGGAAGGTGGCTCAGTGGTAGAGTGCTTACCTTGCATGCATGAGGCCCTGGGTTCGATTCCTCGGCACCACATAAGCAAAAAAGAAAAAAGCCAAAAGTGGCGCTGTAGCTCAAGTGGTAGAGTGCTAGCCTTGAGCTGAAGAGCTGAGGGACAGCGCCCAGGCCCAGAGTTCAGGCCCCACGACCAGATCCAAAAAAAAAAAAAAAAAAGAACTAGCGAGGGAAGGGGTAACACTGCCCAGAAAGAAATGTACTCATTACCTGACTTACATGTAACTGTAACCCTCTGCACATCACCTTTACAATAACAATATAAAAGAACTATATGCATATACTGAATAATAATTTAGCCTAATAGGTTAAAAATTAAAGGAACCAAAATGTATATAAACTCAATCTAATGAGAAAATACTATACAAATCTTTAAAAGATATTCTATGAAATGTCCAGCTAGTACTTTTAAAAAATTATGTAAGTATAAAAGTCAAGCCCTAGCCAAAGCATTCTCTTCCCTCAACTATCACACTGGAAGAGAAGAAGTAAAACTAATAATTAAATGCTATGTAGTAACCGAGACAGAACTTGAATAAAAACTAATAAAGGACATAAAAATGAAAATCTACAGATTTAGTAAGAGGACAGTAATGACACTTTCTCAAGACTAATCTCCTGTTAGATAACTCTATTACTTCTGTCTAAGATACTAGCTAGGTAAAGGTACATAAATACCTGTAAGATTTTGGTCACTTCTCTACAAATCTTAAATTACTTCAATATTGGACATTTAAAAATTGCAAGTATTGGGGCTGGGAATGTGGCTTAGTAGTAGCATGCTTGCCTAGCATGCATGAAGCCCTGGGTTTAATTCCTCAGTAGCACATAAACAGAAAAAGCCAGAAGTGGCATTGTGGCTCAAGTGGTAGAGTGCTAGCCCTGAGCAAAAAAAGCTCAGGGACAATGACCAGGCCCTGAGTTCAAGCCCCAGGACTGGCAAAAAAAAATTTTTTTAAATTGCAAATATAAAGTTAAACCAAAACACTTAAGGTATAATAAGACACACACAATCACAAACTTGACTGTTTTTGATGATCTGACCAATTACTGTTCCTAGCTATATTTTCTATCAAATTGAGATGAGCCTAATAATTCTAATAAATCTAATTCTAATTAGATGAGTCTAGTAGTTCTAACAATTCTTCTTCAAAGAAAAAAAATACACAAATAGGATACATATACTAAACCTTAGTAAAAACCAGAGAAATACATGTAAAAAAACAAGACATAATTCTGTCAAGGAACTAGCCTGGATATGGACCAAAAGTTAAGTATATTTATTAATTACACTAAAAAAAAAACCTACTTATTTAGCAGAGGAACAGTTTCAAAATTAAGTTCTATTACAATACATGAAGAAATGTGTGCATAGGACCCAAAATGGCACGGAAAAAAGAAAGAAAAAGAATATGGAATTACAGTTATTAGATTCAATTACTGACACTTTAAAAGTTATTTAGCATTAATACACACACACACACACACACAAAGTGGAGCTGGGCTTACGTAGTAGAATGATAGCTTTGAGCAATAAAAAGCTCATGAACAGCACCCAGGCCTGTTCAAGTCCCTTGACCAGCACATATACACGTCTGTACACAGGCACATGCATGCACACATGCATATATACAATTGATGAAAATATAAACGTTTGTCTCTCACTTTTGACTTCCTCATCCTGAATCCTGACAGTTCTATTTCCTATCTTTATAACCATTGTTTGATCTTTACTATACCATAATTGGACTACTAGAAAGAGTTAGCTGTGTATCAAAAATTGGTCCACATATAGTTCATCTCAAAATCACCCTTAATAGTAATGTATTAATTTTTAACCAGGTCAGACTAAAGAAAAAATTCAGTTAGTCCCCTAGTCTGCTTTTAGTTGCAAATCGTTTATCCATCGTTTTCTATTATTATTGCCCCATTTTACCTTATCTCAATTAAGAAATAAAATATAATTTTGTTTACCAACAGCAAAACAACAGCTCTCAAAGTAGTTAATAACACAACAGAGCAGGTTCAGTGACAGACTATACATGGTAATTGTCCAAAGTAAAGACAAAAGCGCTCACTGGAAAGCATCAAGGATGGTAGAATTTAGAAATACGCAAGCATCTACTAGTGTTCAGAACTGACATAACCAGAAGTGGCATATATGAGCAGATTATTTCCATACATAGAAGTACCTGGGTACCTCTCTTGATTCCTATGCTGTGTCCTTCACAGGAGCTCCCTAACATTGTTCTAGACAGTTTATGTTTCTGTGTGTAACCAAAACACTTATCAACATGTCACATATTAAGTAACTGCCATTCCCACTTGAGTGTCTTTGTTCTTGTTAACCACCTCCTTCAGACTTATCTTCTCTCTTCTGTCCGTTATTTTCTCCAAACATCCCAACATCTCAATTCTTCAGAAGAGCCTTTAGAAGCAAACTTTATTCTACTTGTTGGCCCCTCGAATTTAAGTACAGTTCACTAACTTAATATTCTAGCTAAATATTACACATTCACCAGTGACTTGATACTTTCAAATATTCATTTAAGGAATACATTCAATTAAGCATTTTCAAATGCCAAATTCTAATACAGGAATCATTATAGAAAGACAGCTTTTTTGTTTGTTTGTTTGTTGGTCATGGGGCTTGAACTCTGGGCCTGGGCGCTGTCCCTGCTCTCTTCAGCTCAAGGCAAGCATTCTACCACTTGAGCCACAGAGCCACTTCTGGTATTCTGAGTGGTTTATTGGAGATAAGAGTCACACGGCCTTTCCTGCCCAGGCTGGCTTTGAACCGGGATCCTCAGATCTCAGCCTCCTGAGTAGCTAGGGTGACAGGCGTGAGCCAATGGTGCCCATCTATTTGCAC